ATTACAAGAACAACAAGAAAAAAAATCAAAGTCATTATCAACAAAGCACTTTTTGCAGCCTATTTAAGGTCATCTGACCTCACAAGACCCAAGTACTGGCAGGTTGCCCAACTTCTGGAGTATGGATTTAATTTCTTCTTCAATCTCTCTCTTTTAAAAATAGATTATCAAGAAATTTACAATAAATGTAACGAGCTAATCAAAAAGAGATTACCAAACCTTCCTGACACACTCAAAGAAATTCCAGCAACAATCAAAATCAAATTACCAAGAGCCATCCCAATAACCTCCCCTAAGTTTACTAAAGAAGTAGCAGATTGTCTCAGGCATATTACAACTTCGACTTACTCCCCCTTCCTTCTTTATACAAAAACCAAACCTTCTAGAAAACCCTGCTGATCTCAGAGATGAAGTTAAAGATATTTTCCCCCTTATGAACAGAGCTGATTTAAGCAACCTAAGAGAACTTGTTGATAAATTAAGGGACCATTACTATGTCCCCAGTAAATTACCTGAGTCATACTTCAGACTACCACCACCCAAGCAAACCCTTTCCCCTTCATATACCAATCTACCCGAGTATATTGCTTACTATTTCCCAGTGGACAATGATCCAGAGAACATCTTGGAAGCTGTCCAAATCCTCAGAGATGAGAATTATGTGCTCAATAAACTACCAATGATTATATTAGGGCTAAGAGACCTCTATTACCAGTACACTGGTACAACGAAAATAATAGAAATATCTTATCTATTATTAATCAGGACGAGGTCAAAGAATTTATTAAGCAACTTAGGAAAAAATTCTATTTCAAACTTCCCTTAGGTTCTGAGTAAATCAAGGAAGGTTTAACACAATCAGAAAAACCCAATATCCCTAACAAATTCTCTTTGGTTGAAGAAGAGTTAGGAATCACAAGCGATAAACTTAACAGAGATCACTCCGATTTCAACACAACAATCAAGCTAATCAAGAAAAACTACACAGGGAAAATTCCAAGAGAATGGATTTCTCCATTACTGCCGGATCTTCCCAACCTTACCAGTACACAAGAGATACTCAAATCTGAGGGCACCGCTTTGTCCCTTCCCATAGTTGAGGATGGGACCCTCACAAACAAAATTAAACTCCTTAGGAAATTGTTCCACTTTGAAAAACTTCCAGAAGAATTTATTATTGAACCAGAGTCACCCGACCCGGACCTGACTCTCTTACCCAAACTTATCTAAACATGAGCTTAACACTAGCCAACTCAAATCAATCTTTTACCTATAATTCAGTTAATAATACTCCTCCTTTATTTCCCACATCTTTATCACTTTTCTCCAACAACTTGTTCCCTATACCATCATTCCCCTTAAAAAATATAATTACAATCTCCACACTTAATGTCAGAGGCCTTAATGATAAAGCAAAGCTATTTGAACTTATCAAACTTCTAAAAAGCTAGAGACAAATTTTTTGTTGCTCTGAAGCAAAAATTACAAAATCAAATCCACTTCCCAAATTATTAAATAATATTACTATTATGTGAGGATCTTTCAAAGTCCTCTCTAATAATCAAATTTTGTAAGGCTGAGGCATAATAATTTGGTCCGAGTATCCTTCTCTTTCTCTAAAAATAAACTCAATTTCATCTGTTAGCATGCATATTCGTCTACTCAAATTATACCTAAGTTCCTGTTGTAGCAATAAGCATTTACACTTCCAACTACTTTGAAACTCTTCCAAATTTCTTTATGGTCACAGTTTCATCTTTAAATGTTATACATTTGCAATAGTAGTTTTAACAAATAGATGTTTGGCAATTGGATTTTTAAACAAATAGATGTTAAGTTTATTTAGACATTTTCTCCTCGCTTATATACATGCTAATTACAAAAAATTATATCAAATATATTAACTATATCAACTATCTAAACTATCGCTAATATA